TGGAAGAATTTTATTTATGGTAACTTGAAGAGATAGCCTGTTAACATATAAGAAAGCTCTCCGTAAAGCTAGAACTATATATTATTCATATTTAATAGATGAAAATATAAATAACCCCAGGTTTCTGTTCAGTACTATAGCTAGACTAATGAAAAGCCCCATCTCTGTTAAGCCATGTATCCCTACAGTTATAAGCAGTGATGACTTCATGAGATTTTTTATAAATAAAATTATTTCAATAATAGAGAAAATTCAAACCATCTTTCCTACTATTTCCTTCAATTGTCTGTCAGATGAGGTGGCTTTAGAAATGTCACTAGAACCTGATTTATGTTTGGACTGTTGGTGTCCTACTGAGCTCTGTAAAATCACAGCTTCATCCAAACCATCAACATGTCTGCTAGATCCCATCCCAACCACATTATTTAAAGAGGTATTTCGCCTAATTAATATCCCCATTTTGGATCAGCTTAATTTGTCTTTAATGAATGGTTACGGGCAGCACAGTGGCACACTTGGTAGACCTGCTACCTTTCAGCGAGCAGCTTGCCCCAGTTCATATCCCAGCTAGGGGCCTTTCTGTGTGGAGTTTGCAAGTGCTCTCGATGCATGAGTGGGTTTCCCCCCAGTACTTTGGTTTCCTCCCACAGAACAAAAACATGCATGCTAGGCTAATTGGTAACTCTAAATTGTCCCTAGCTGTGAGTGAGAGAGTGACTGGTTGTCTCATTTGTCTCCATGTGGCCTTGTGATGGACTTGCAACCTGTCCAGGGTGTAACCTGCCTCTCACACAGTGATGGCTGGACATGGGCACCAGTGACCACTGCAACCCATAAAGGAAGATAACAGATGGATGGATAAATGGTTATATACCATAGCACTTTAAGGTTGCTGTAATTAAATATTTACTAAAGAAACCTGAACTTGATTCTGGAATTCTGGCCAATTATAGACCTGTAGCTCATCTAACATTCAATTGAAAAATTATTAAGAAAATAGTTGCAGGTCAGTTGTGTGAACATCTGAACAGAAATTAATCTGTATGAGGAGTTTCATTCAGGGTTTAGAGCTCATCATAGCACAGAAACAACACTGGTGAAAGTTACTAATGATATTCTCATGGCCTCAGACAATGGACTTCGGTCTAAACTGGTCCTGTTAGACCTAAGTGCTGCATTTGATACAGTTCATCAGAATATGTTACTGCAGAGGCTTGAATATGATGTCAGGATTGCAGGAACAGATTTAACATTGATTTAATCATCTTTATTTGATAGATTCCAGTTTGTAAATGTAAATAATGAATCTTCTTTATACTCCAAAGTTAGCCATGGAGTTCCTCAGCGTTCAGTGCTTCAACCAATACTCTTTACTTTAGGTGAAGTTATTAAACAGGATGGGATAAGCTTTCATTGTTATGATGACTATACTCAGTTATACTTATCCATGAAATCCAATTAATCTAATCAGTTCCTTAGATTAAAAGCATGTCTTGAAGACATAAAACCCTGAATGACCCTAAATGTTCTGTTTTTAAACTCAGACAAGACAGAGGTTGTGGTTTTTGGACTTAAGCGTCTTAGGAATAAATTTTGCAATTTGTCACTTCCTTTGGATGCGATTAATTTGGCGTTCAGTTCTAATGAAAAATACAGTAGTGTTATTTTGGATCAGGATATGTCTTAACTCCAACATTAAAAATGTTACCAGAATCACTTTTCTCCACCTGCGTAATATCAATAAAATTAGAAACATCTTGTCCAAAAAATATGCAGAAAAACTGGTCCATGCATTTATGATGTCTAGGCTGGAGTATTGTGAAGGTTTGTTATCTGGGTGTCCAAAGACATTTTTTTAAAGTGTTCAGTTGATCCATAATGCTGCTGCTAGATTGTTATGGATACTTATAGGAGAGATCATATTTTCCAGTTTTACCTTCTCTCCATTGTGTTCTTGTCAAGTTCAGAATATAATTCTAACTCATCTTATATTACAGATTTTATTGTTTGTTTTATTTTATTTTATCTACTGTCCTAACAGAGCACTTTCCTCGGAGACTGCAGGTTTACTTGTGGTTCCTAGAGTTTCCAAAAACAGAATGGGAGATAGAGCTTTCAGTTATCAGACACCTCTCTTGTGGAATCAACTTCCAGTTTCTGTCTGTGAGGCTGACACTTTGTCTACTTTTAAGATTAGAGTTGAGTCTTTAATTTTTTTGATAAATCCTATAGTTAGGGTTGGCTCAGGTTTCCTGAGCTATCCTTTAGTTTTGCTGCTATAAGCTTAGATTGCTGGAGAACAAACTGACCATATTCCTCACGCTGCTGCTGTCTTTACTTAATCTGCTCCATCTGTTTGTATTTGTGATTATTTCTATCCTTAACATGTTTTTTTTTCTCTCAATAGAAAGTACACCTGGACCTGTCATTCTGTGTTTATTTGTTTCTCTTTCCTGTCCCCTCAAACCCCAGCTGGTCGAAGCAGATGGGCGCTCGTCCTGAGCCTGGTTCTGTTGGAAGTTTCTTCCTGTTAAAATAGTTTTTCCTTTCCACTGTTGTCTTTGTGCTTGCTAAGGATGGAAAACTGTGAGGAAGTGAAGATTCAATGCAACCTGCTGGCTTCTTTAGATAGATAACTTTGACTAATTGACTTTTATAATGTATGTGAATGCTTTTGTACAGTGCCTTGTGATGACTTCTTTTGTAACTTGGTGCTATATAAATAAACTGAATTGAATTGAATTGTATGCAGTATTTTGCAACACATCAAAAACATAAAACTTGAAGCAAATGACTATGAACCAGGTTCCAAACATATACTGTAATGGTTCCCACAAGGACACTTTTCAGTCTAAATTATTATCTTGTAGAAATATTGCAGTGCATAAAAAATAAGTAATTTATTGTTCAAATCCTTGGAAAATTTTATACACACACATATATATATATATATATATATATATATATATATATATATATATATAATTTGATAATGACTGGGCTAATCTGTGAGTGGCGGTTAGCTCCACTCCCCCCATTCTGAACATTATGTATAGTAGACAGGATATTGACTGCTCATCACTACTCCACACAAACTCACTTTATAGGCCGAGATGGGGTAGAGGTAGGACAGCCGACTAGGGACCAGAAGGTTGTGGTTCAACTCCCAGCCATTCCCACATGTTGTGGTGTCTCTGAGCAAGACACCTAATCTCTAATTGCTCCCCGGGCACTTGCATAGCTGCCCACTGCTCCACCTGGGTATATCTCAGGTGTGATGGGTTAAATGCAGAGAACTAATTTTGCCATTGTGTGGAAACATACAATGATGGCAATCTCAGATGTCCCTTCCCCTCTCCTTTAAAAAATTTAATCTGTCCATTTAATGGTTGAGAAAAGTTTTGAGGTGAGTGAGCAAATTACAAATTAAATTGTACAGTATTACATACATGCTAAGGTGCTTTAAACTTGGTCACAATTGCTGAATTGCCTAAACTGCTTAACTGTTTGCCATATTCTCTGAATATTTACAGGAAAAAAAGGAAAGAAATGAAAACACTGACCACAAGCCTTTTCAGTCAGAATCAGTCAGAGATTCTTTATCGTCATTCGCACCTCATGTGGTACATGTGGTGGAGTGAAATTATGTACACAGGGTCCCAGTTACATCCAACAATGAAATGTAAAAGAGAAAACAATGATAACATCTAAGATATGAACTAAGAAAAACGTCAACTAAAAATAAACTAAGCACTAATTGCATAAAAATATTACGTTGAACATCAGCACAAACATGAACATGAGTCTGTGTGAGCAGATGAGCACGCATGAACACTAAATAAAGCAATGTTACACCAATACGAACACAGCAAGTGTTGGTGACCAATAAAAATCTGAATCTCTTATTGAACATCATCACAGGCATTAGGCACATTATTTCCTGTTTACCTGCCAAAAATAAGTTTAGGGTCTTTATTATTTCTAAGATATCTTAGTTGAGAGTGAGAATTTTAAATTCTGAATTCAGTACTAGAGGTAGCCATCTCTCTAGGTATTCCTCTTAAAATGCACCTTTTTTTTTACCAAACAAATGTCCCACTATAGTTTTTTGTGCTGTGGTCATTCTTGCTGACCACTGTCATATTTTAAATTGAATTTTAGCTTGAAAATTAAAGGGGAAAAAAAAAAGAGTAGTTGAGTTTTCCAGTCAAGAATGAAAAATGATGTTACTTTATACGTTAGCTTTTTGTTTTGTTTTAAGAATTTTCATCACAAGCATCTTTCCACAAAGCCACAAAGAAAGGAGAGAGGAACTTTGAAAGACAGGAGCAAAAGGGTTTCATTTCAGACAAAGGATTAACAGTGGGCTGCTGAGAGACAATATAAAATAAACAATGGATTTTTTTTTTTTCTTCCGCTGAGAATCACATAAAGCTGCTTTAAAGAATTCCCAGAAAAGATATCCTCTTTTAACTTTCCAAGAAACTAATATGTTCAATGTATAGATGTGGAGTGATGAAAGCGTAGATATGCTTGTGTATATGTGCAAGTACGTGTGTGTAAAGTGAGTCGGTAAATAGGCAAATGTTATCGTGAGAAGTAATGTGTGAATCAGTGTGATACAGACCACAAATGGAAGCTCAAATGTCCAGCAGTATAGTGACATTTTTCAAATCAATGTAAAATAAAGAAATAAATAAAATCTTCAGATCAACAAATTAAAAAAAAAAAGTTATCTAACAGGAAAAGAGGCAACTTATTTAACTGGCAAAAATGAATGCATAATAATAATAATAACTAATGCTTGAAAACTAATAATTGTCCTTTATCATGCTTCATGTGCTTTTGTTATAAGAATGTTCACTTTTTTGTAAAGCACTTTATTTGTTCAAAACGTGATTTGTAAAAAACAGAGCTATACCATTGAGTAACACTGAAATGAACCCCGGAATTGTTCTGAACTATCACAGGTATCATCAAAATAGACTTAAAGGACTGACCTTGGTGACAGCAGGATACCCAGCAGCCACTTCACCAGAGCAGTAGGGCCTTTCTTCATGGGAAACTTCAACAGAGGAAGCCCACTGGTCCAAATACCCACTGGGTGTGTAGAGACCACAGTCTCTTACACCCGTTTCTCGCTCAAAGTCTTCACACACCCCATCACCGTCATAGTAGTAACATCTACTCGGCTCCTCTGCAGTGAAAAAATGCAAAGAAACACTGAAATAGTGAAGCAACAATTTACATTTTGTGATACAAAACATGTCTCTCTAGTAAATGAGTCCTCGAGGCTCAATGAGACTAACCTGTATAAAGAAAGGTTGAATGAATGGAAAAAATATGCACCGCCATCCAACTTTTTATTTGGCTGGCAGATGTGATTTGACATACACCAAACTTTTTTTTTAATCTCTCACTTTGTCATCTGTTTTTGGATTTATCCAAGTTTTCTAATCTTGGTTTTATTGCAGTACAGCGCAAGTGGACCAGTGAAAGACGGGGGAGGATGCTAAAGGTGTAGCTGAATATAGAAGCGGGAATGTAAGGGAATTAGCGAAACGACTGTAAAAGAGAGCATGGTTAAATGTTAGCATGACTGAATACAAATACAGAGAGGCGGAGAGGGAAAGGAAGGGGACGGACAAAGTCAAGGAGTAAAAAAGAGATAGAGAAGTATTTTTCCAGACATCCCACCCAGAGTTAAGGTCTGGAACTGAAAGCTTATGTACTGGAGGAGAAGGGAGCTGAGCAGGAAGGTTGCCTGGGCCTCATTGGTCTCAGCTAAAGCAGCGTCAGCCGGTGGGGTTCCAGTTAGGGGGAAAGGCGGCATTCTGTGCCAAGTTGGCCGGGGCCTCCTCCTTGAAATTCCAGCCATCCCCAACACGGCCAAAAGCTCAAGTCAGTTCTGTGCTCTGGCAACGGTGAAACGAGGGGCTACCAAGGGGGGCATATAGAAAAGCCTCCTGCCACTCACTAAGCAGGAACAGAGGCAAACAAGTCGGGAGAGAAGTGAGAGTGAGACAAGAGGAAGTTCAAACAGTGTTTAGTGAAAGGTGCGAGAACAGAGGGTAGAGCGTGAGCTAAAGAGAGAGGAGGCGTGAGAGGATGAGACAACACTAAAAGGTGCATTGATGTACTGTATTATCTGAATTTGGACAAGGATAGAATAAACAGATAACGGAAGAGTGGGAATGTAACCGCAAACAAGAAGAGCAGCGGTTGGAGGCAGCAAAACGTTAGGAGGCGAAAGAGATAAAATTATAGAAAGATAACAAAAACTACCTCCAGTGAGCATGAGTTTAGTTTAGTTTAGCAAGAACTGACAAACTATTTGCGTGGGGAAAGACTCAAATCTAATTTGAAAACGGTCACTTGAGTTTTGCTTTTAATCTTGTTTGGATGTCACTTAAGTGATGCAGATTTTTTTTAAGTTTAACTTAAATATAAAAAGCATTTACCAGTCTAGACTCTGTCTACATATTTAGATGGGAATGAGCCCGTTTGAGAAATAACCAATGAGACTGTAACTTCTGAGTTTCATCAGCTTCAGATATAAATCAGCTCTACTGTGAATAGGCTGTTGAAGCTCATCCCATGGTAGCACCTTGGAGCTGTTTACTTAGTGTCAAATCTCCATCCAGCGTTTTCTTTCACTGTGCAGCGCCTTAACAAGCAGCCACTCTCTCTCACACGTATACAGATAGATCAACTTAACCTTCTGTCGTTAAAGTGTCTGTTTTCTGCTCCAAGCTTTAGCTGTATCAGTCTGTTGCTGTTTAAAAAAGTTGGACTCACTTCCACGCAGCCAAGTGTATCGCATCGCAGTTGGTGGAAAAACTTACACTATGAGACTTGCATCCCGATCACAATCGTTATGCAAAAAAAAAACAATTGGTTCATCCTTATAAATCAATACTACTATTGTCACAAATACTTTTTTTTTTAGTATATGAAAACCTGACCCATAAAAATGAGGGGAAAGGACAAGGTTTTCTCATTCTGTCGTTGCTTCTGGTAGGCGAAAAAATCTTTTCTTTGATGGAAGTGGACCAGAACATTTTAGGAAGTCAAAGGTTAAATACAGGGTGTTACTCATAGATGCACGGCAGATAAACTGGCTCTCCAAATAATTTGTAATATTCCTCCTTACAGCAGACAAGAAACAGCAATCGCTTACATGATATACGAACTCTGACAGCAGATTTGTCTTTATGACTTACCAACACAGTTGAAGAAGGATTCTTTCTTGCACTGACTTGAACAACCATCCCCATTCATGAAGTTCATATCATCGCATTCCTCTCCTCTGGAACTAAAACAGGCAAGAAACAGTAGAACATAAACACATGCACTAAGAAACTCCAATACCAAATTAAGCACACCAAAAACATGTTTAAATCCACGTATTTTTGCATTTGTAAACGTGCTTTACACATCCTATTACCTTTGGATGTGTCCATCTCCACAGTAGGGCGCCCCGAGTTCATGCACCAGCGGTGGAGAGGGCTCACTCTCACTCCGACTGGAGATAGTTTGGATCTGGTAGGTGTACACAACATGCGGCACAACATCCCTACACAGAAAATGGCAAAAATCACAGTAAGATTATTTGTATGTGTAATTTCACACATAGAAATACTGCACTGGTGAAAATAAAAAACACTAAACCAAGCTCTGTGGGGAACAGATTGATGGCTTTGTTGCGTTTTGTTTGTTCTAAACTTCCTGCTGGCTCATTTAAAAAGCTATATATTTAGTTATACAACTGTCCACCAAATGTTTGTTTTTTTGCCTTTATTCACTTTAAAATCACCGGATTCTTGTTATGTTTTATTGGGAAATATTTCTATAGGTTAACAGTCAGTCTCATAATTGGGTATTTTCAATTTAGCTTAAGTCTTCTGTTTCAGGTAATTATCACTATGAAGCTGAGGCCAGTTACAGGTTTAAAACTGAAATTTAAAATTGTAAAACTATTGTGAAATCAAACCAAATAAAAAGTTCAACCCAAACAAACAAAAATGTCGTAATTTCTCTGAGACGTTCTTTTTTATAGTTTACATTTCTGGTTTACGGTTTTGGATATTTGTTAAGGATTACGATTTCTTATAAACCTTGTTTTTGTTTCTCAAAGATTTGTTTAGTATCTGTGTTATAATATGCATTAATATGATAACTTATTGGGGTAAAAATGACATTTTCAAAATAACTCGCTCAATATGCTTAAAGTTCTGATTGGAGATTAAATCTTTATAAAAATATGTGTACATCTGTGTAACTTTGGAAGAATTCAAAGAAAACTGACTTTCTGTGTAAAGAAAGAATGTTTAAAAAATGCTCTCAATGATAAATTATAAAATAAATACTGTTTGCTACTGTTTGGTAGCAATAGCTAACACAGCCTGGAACTGGTCCATACCCAATAAGATCCAGGCTGTGTTATGTTTTACCGCCTGCTTTTCTCATGTTTTTTGTTTTTTCTTGAACTGTACAGTTTAGAATTGCTTAATGATTACACTTTTGTGAAGGCATAAATCACATTATTTTATGTGAACTATCAAGTGTCATTGATGATATAGGAATTTCCACTGCAATGACCTTACTCCAGCTAAAAAATGGCACAACATATTACATGGTTCAAATGAGTAGCAGTGCATTTTGCGTATAAATGTTTACATATTGCAACACTTTGCACTAATGACGGCAGCCTGTACACACCCTAACATACTAACAATAGAAAGCACACAGTCACATAACGGTTGCCTTCAGACTTTAACAAAAGCACATTAGTTTAAACTACTATTCCCAATCCTGCTGTTTAATCTCCTGTGAACGCCATGACAACACCAGGAGCCAACACTCTGGCCAACTTGTTCTGGCTCCACAATACCCCCATGCCAAAGTCAGCAGTTAAAGCAAGGAAGTTTTTTTGAGTGATATTCGGGAAAGCTATAAACTTTGATGAGCTCTCAGTTGGAATTTTGGATTTCTAATGACTAAGTAAACCAGAAATCGCTCAAACAAAAACTCGGAAGAAAAATTATTATCCTGCAGAGCCATGAGGAAAACTCTTGCACACATGAACAGCCTAAAATGATAAATTTCAAGTGTGTTTGCCAACACACATGGTTGGTTCTGCTTTTTAAAATACATATTAAAAGTTCTAAACAAAGAGATTTGACTGAATAAAATTGATAGAACAAATGTCTTCTGTTCCAGTTTTAAGCTACCGTCAACCACTTCTTCTTCATCATCTTCTTTTTTGGGCTTTTCCCTCTTCAGGGGTCGCCACAGGAATTCATCATCCTCCATCTCACTCTGTCCTCTGCATCCTCTGTCCTCACTCCAACTACCTCCATGTTCTCTCTAACTGCATCCATATATCTCCTCTTGGGCCTTCCACTTTGTCTTTTTCCTGGCAGCTGCATTTCTAACATCCTTCTACCAATATAACCACTGTCCCTCCTCTGGTCCAAACCATCTCAGTCTGGCCTCTCTAACTTTATCTCCCAGTTGTTCAACCTGTGCTGCACCTCTAATTATCTCATTCCTAATCTTATCCATCCTTGTCACTCCTAAGGAGAACCTCAACATCTTAATTTCTGCCACTTCCAGTTCTTTCTCCTATCTTTTTGTCAATGCCACTGTCTCCAGACCATACAATATAGCTGGTCTCACCACTGTCTTGTAAACTTTTTCTTTGACCTTTGCTGACACCCTTTTGTCACAAATTACTCTTGAATCTTTTCTCTATCCACTCCATCCTGCCTGGACTCTCTTCTTCACCTCTTTACCACATTCCCCATTTTCCTGGACAGTGGACACCAATACTTGAAGTCCTGCACCTTTGAGACCTCTGCTCCTTGTAGCCTCACTGTTCCACCAGCTTCCCTCTCATTCACACACATGTACTCTGTCTTACAGACTTTCATTCCTCTTCATTCAAGTGCATACCCACATCTCTCCAAGTTATCTTCCACTCGTTACCTGCTCTCACCACAGATCACAATGTCATCTGCAAACATCATAGGCCACGGGGATTCCTGCCTGACCTCATCATAAACTTGAGTATTTATCTTTTGACACAGTACATATTCAGAATACAAAAACATCAATAGAAACAGATAATGATTAGCTTGGTCTTCTGCTTATGTTAAATCTGGGTTATCATGCCATAGAATAAGCATGATTTTGGTATTTGATTGGTAAACAAAGTTTTTGATCAGCTCCACCTAAATAGCCCTTGCATGGGAATGTCATCAGGTTACAGCCTTTCAAGTCTTTCAGTGAATCATTTCAAAGGTATTAATGTTAAATTTTGCTTTTCTGATGGTTGTCTGCTTTGTTAAGTGAGTGTTTGTAGAGCAGTACATGCTAACCAGCAGCTGGGCCCACTATTTGGGCTATCAAATAACTGTAGAATTTGTGCAAATAACTCGTGTCAAATTGACAGCAATGTTAAGGCTCAATAAATAGTTTGCATTATCCATTGATTTTTTTTTCTTGATTTTTTTTATGGTGACAGCAATGAAAGTAACCTGTATGAATAAAGGTTGACTGAATTAATTAATCCACTAATGCCTTGAAACATTTCAGAGAGCTATGTACAACAGGTGGGGTAATAATGGTTCATCATCTTTCATTAAAATCCTCCTATAAAATATCTGAACTCTGGCTCTGAGCAGTTGTTTGAGTGAATGTCAAAACAAAAATGCTGAGGTTTGATTTCACAATTAAGCTTGGTTTTATTTTGCAAGTCATTTTGCAAATCTCGCTGTCAATTACTGTGTAGCTGTTTAACTCAAACAAGGTCTTCAACATCTTGAAAACGTTCTCCGTTTTTTTGCATTTAGAAAATTGTTTGAGCCTCAAAACAGTCTCGTCAGTCTCATAAAATCAGTTTTAGTTTCAGTCATGTACAATGAGTATAAATCAGCCACCCATTTCATTGGTAGTTAATGATGGTTACATGTATCCTTGGTGTTCAACGTGTCTCTGCTCTGTGCACTGCAATATTTGGATGTAGAGTTTCTAAATTTTGCATAAAATTGAACATGTGTTTTAAACTTCAGTTTAAAGGGTCAAAGGGCTGTTCCATACAGTGAGATAACAACTGCTCAGCATGGCGTTCAACATGTTCCCAATTAGATTTGTGCTCGTTTCCCCCTGCGACCTAACTACAACAGGTCATGTTAGGTGCTGCCATCGGCAAACAGCGCTCGAAAGAAACAATAATTACATGATTATTTTCATTCCCTATTCAAAATGAATACAAGATACCACTTTTCATTTAAAACTGAATATATATCACATGAAAATGTTCTTTTAAAAAGATATTTTACAAATAACTACTTTAGTCACTGTCATTTTCTCACGTGGTAGGCAGCTCTTGTTCTTTTCTGTTAATGCAGATTTTCTTGTTAAGATTTCATGTGTAAAACAAAGTTTTACTTTGGCTCGCTTTTTAAATTTGGCCCAAGATACTGTATTGTTTTTGGTTTTTTTTGTTGTTTTTTCTTTCTAAAAACAATAAAGGGTGATTACACATTAAAGCATTTACAAACATGTGTGCCTGCTACCAAGAGCAAGAGGAACACGTGTGCGTTTCTGTGCTGCTTATCCGCTTTGTGATTCCACCTTTACAGATGTGTGTACAAGGCTTGTGAGCTTGCATGTAAATGTGTTTCCATTTTTCAGCTCCTTGATGTTTTTGGCAGAAACACGTCAGATGGGAAAAATAGATAAGCGTGAGGAAAATCTTTTCTTTGAGCCTGCAAGACCCACAAACATGGCTAAACTCCCTTTAATGGTTTGGCACGCTGTCGTGCATTAGAGGTAAATTTTTCACCTATCTACAACGTACTGTTACATAATTGGAATAATAAACACGACAATGAAATTTAAAATGCATTAAAAATGAAGTGAAATTCTGCAAAGTAACTGAAAATTTCAGCTAAACATAGTTTGGTTGTTTAGTCTCAGCTTCATGAGGAGACATTATTTACATTATTGAAAAAAGCTAAATTGTATCAGTGATTGATTCATCTGAAGGCCATGACTATCTCCTTCATCTTTTTCACATTGATGTGAAGGTTGTTCTTCCTGAAACAGCTCTCCAGGTGTTCCACCTCCTGCCTGTAGCTGGACTCGTTGTTTGTGATGCATCCAACCACCGTTGTATCATCTGCAAATGTTACAATATGACAGCCTGGATGGGTGTGCAATCATGAGTGAGCAGAGTGAACAGGAGGGGGCTCAACAAACAGCCCTGGGGGGAGCCATTTATGAAGGTTATGGTGGAGGAGGAGAAGTGGTGGATCCTCACTGGCTGTGGTCTGTTTGTTAAGAAGTCCAGGACCCAGATGCATATGGAGGGGCTTAGTATTATTGTGTGCAGTTTGTCCATCAGGGTCTGGGGAATCATGGTGTTGAAGGCAGACGTGAAGTCCACAAAGAGCATACAGACCTAGGAGACCTTCTGCTTCAGGTAGGTGAGAGCAGTGTGGACTACAGGGGAGATGGCATCCTCTGTTGATTGATTCTTGCGATATGCCTACTAGTGAGGGTTCTTGCTGATGTTGATGGTTGTTTTGATTTGGGTCGTGACCAGTCTTTTGAAGCATGGCGACTATCGGAGTGAGTGCTAGTAGCCGATAGTCATTCAGACCAGAATGTGTGAGAGAAGCAGAGTGTGCTCTACTCACACAAGAAAAGATGTTGGTCAGGCTACTTCTTGTTGTGCCATTAACTCTAAAATAGTTATTGAATCAAGTGTTTACTTATGTAAGTAAACATAGATGTTTAACCACCTGTTAAAATACACCAGAATGCAGGAAATAACATCTACTTTATTCAAAATTTTCTGAGTGAGGACCCCCAGACCCCCCACCCCACTACAAATGCTTCTGGCACCAATGGATGCCTGGACCACCTCAACTGACTTCTTTTCATGCAAAGGAGCAGTGGCTCCACTCCAAGCTGCCCCCAAATTATGGAGTTCCTTACCCTATATCTAAGGCTAACGCTACTGGCCACCCTTCGAAGGAAGCCATTTTGGCAGCTTGTAATCTGGAATCTTGTTCACTGGTAAATCAAGAGCTTTGCCTTTTGACTCAGCTTTTTCTTCACCAAGATAGACCGAAGAAATGCCCACATTACTGACGATGAAGCCCCAATCCATCCATCAATCTCCCGCTCTATCCTACCATCACTCGTGAACAAGAGGCCCAGATACTTGAACTCCTCCACCTGAGGCAAACACTCTCCCCTGACCCAGAGGGGGCATTCCACCTATTTCAGGTTGAGAACCATGGCCTCACACTTTGAGAAGCTAACTCAAACATTCTTCTAACATTGTGAATGCAGGCCACAGAATGTTTCAGAAATAAATGTAAGGCATAATCTCTCCTATAATCTTCCCATCAGAACAGAATGAGAAGCCAGATGCATAGTATTGTCCAGCCTTGTCTCAAAATGTTTGTTGCAACATTTTTCTAGGTTCTCAGTTATACAAACATGGAACATGGAACATGGAATTTTGCAACAGAGTTTTTGCATTTTTTATTGTATTTATTTATTTTTTTGCTTGGGAGGTCTTCCTTAATACTTCCATGACCCCCTCATGTCTCCTCACCCATTACCATTCATCCCCATCCCCTTCCCAAGCCAAGTAATAATTTACCCCCTACTGATACAACCTCCCACCCTGTGTCTCCTCTTTACGCTTCACACTCTCCACCATAATTTACTCTGTCACCCTGACCTCCCAGCCGTTAGCCATTCCAAACAAACCACCACTCACTGATGGAGCCAAAGGAGCCAAGATGTCAACCATCCTTCTTATTTTTTGCCCCAGCTTAGATGAAGGCCAGTGAGCTGACAGCAAGAGGTCAATCACCCCCCAACCCTCAACCACTTCATCTAACCTCATGGAAACATTTTAGAAAAAGAAGTAACTTCCTGTGTGGTCAAAAAGTTTTCAACAGCTGAACCAAAGTTATTATTATTATTGTTTTTGTTTTTGTTGTTGTTGTTGAAAAAGAATATGGTAACAGGCTCATAAATCTTTTTGAATTAACATAATAAATCATTACATTGTTGAGATGTTTTGGCTCAGCTACGCTTATAGTTTTATTGATAAATACATGTTTATTTATTGAACAGTTACAGTGTAGTACTATAACACGGAGCCTGTTTTTAGCCTACTCAGTCAGTTTAAGGAGTGGCATGACATGCAAACAGACCCCAGAACATAGGCACAGCCCGCTGCCTGGTTCTGCATCCAGAAGCCAAACATTATAGTTCATAATGATCAGACCCAAAGCATTCTTAAAGAAGTCAACTTACAACAAATCGTATAAACTTGATGACTTCGATTTAAAAATATTATACAACTCTTTTTGGTTGTATGAGTGAAAAGAAAAATTCATGACTGAAGCTATCATGTATTGCATACTGAGCTTCTCTGACAATCTAACAGACAAGATCTCACATGGTCTCATAAGAAAAAATATACAGCCATTGCCACTGACTACTACCACTGGAATGCAACCACAGCTAGTGAAATGTGCCACAGTAGTAAAACTACGTACAGTACATCAACAGCCAGTGAAGTGTGCCAAAACCTCCAAATAAATACATCCCATACGGTAGGCACCCTTCCACAGATCCTTCCATTTAACCAGGAAGTTGTGCGCAGACACATTATGGAACTTAGATGTCATCACTTCATCCTGGATAACATGCACACCCACCCTTTTGCCTCTTATCTAGTACTTTCCCTCTCATGCGAATCCCACTGATGGCACGATAGAGAGACGCAACAGTGCCATGTAGAGCACAATTTTGATCAAGTCAGCACATTCTGGGAAAAACAGCAGTAGTTTCTCAACACAGTGTGCAGATAATACCTTCAACAAGTCATCTGTTTGCCCTTGCTTCATGGAACATAGGAAACAAAAAATGTGGGCAACAATTGACCTGTGACTTAGGAAATAAATGTTTGGAAAACAGATTTAAAACTGCAGAAACAGCAGTGACTTGCAAGTGTTCCAGCAAGTTTTAATAGGGATTTCTGGTATAACATGAGCATATTTTAGCGGATATTTTCCACAGAAAAATAAAGACCTTTTACTGACAGCTCAAAAAAATAATAATGGTCTTGCCTCACAGGAAAGCAGGAAACTAAGCAATCAGCAATTTTAAGTTAAAAAACAAAACTGCTGTTCTAACTTAACTAACTAAAATGTTTAAATCTTAATAAAAGTCTAAAAGTGTTGACATTGTTCATTAGAACTGACTCACCTGTCTGTAAATTGACGAGTAGGCTCATTTAACATCAGGCCATGTGGTGAATGGCTGAAGGCTGGTTGGCGCAGCAGGCGATATCGTAGCGGCTGGCAGTGCCTGCAAAGCATGCAGTCTGGCTTGGATGCTAATAGAGTGGCATCAATCTCCAGGTGTTGCTCCATGGTGTAAATTTGTACTCCATTAACCTTTTCTACTATGTCCAGTTTCAAAGTCAATGGAGTATCACAAAAAACATTACTGGGGCCCAGTGAAATGTTGTTCCCATTGACAGTCAGCAGCAAGATGTCATGAATTGCAGGCAACGCTGTTTCCTCAGGACTGAAAAATGTGACCCACACAGTCAGGGAATCAGGTACCACCGGTTGCAAGAACTTTAGCTGAAGCATGCAGCCGTTGGGAGGGCACTCTGACAGACCAACAAGACCTTGCTCAGTCCCTGCGTTGGGACTCCACGTGCGCACACTGGGTTCACATGGTTGCTCCACATCTGGAGGGCCTATGGGACAAGTTAAAAAGACATGTAAACAACATACAGGCTTTAAAAAAAGATCCAACATTATCATATTAATTGGCCAATCAAAAAAAAAAAATAAAAATTGGTATTGAACAACAATGTGTGGCCCTGTGATGGACTTGCAACCTGTCCAGGGTGTACCCTGCCCTTCGCACAGTGATTGTTGGACATGGACACCGGCGACCCCCGTGACCCAAAATGGAAGAAGCGGGTAAAGATAATGGATGGATGGATGGATGGATGGATGGATGGATGGATGGATGGATGGATGGATGGAAGGAAGGATGGAACAACAATGTTTTTCACTTAAAATCAAATAATAATGCAAATCAATGGATTTTTTTTTTTTTTTGTGATGAATCTGTAATTTCCCTCTAAACAAGTAACATTTTCTTTATCTAACTTTTCACATTAATACCATAGCTGGATGATGACAGAGACAGAATTTTACACCAGTCATGTTTTTGGTGTTTTTGCAGGTCTTGCAACATCAAGGTTGAGGTGAAACTAAGAGTTCATTGTGAGTCCATCTGCAGAGGAAAGGCAGAGCTGAGGTGTGTAGCTTCTGAGAGGGGCCCTGCACAGGGTTCTCACTTCAGCGCAGTCATTACAACCTCAAACAGTCACACTCCTGCCATATTTGGAGTCCACACACAGCTAATGCGCATTATCCCAAGTGACGTACACTAACATTCATCAAGCCCTTTTTGAAGCCAGCAAGCGGCAGACACTATGTTCTCCCTCGATTTCCTTTAGTGCAATTCCAAGCTGGCAACCAACAAAGCCATTTGCTAACCTCATTTCTGGGCACCATGCAAAATTCCAATGTTTAATCAAGTGAGGATTGAATATGGATTCCAAGCCACATTATCTCAACACATTTATTATTGTACTGTATGTGTGTGTATGTGTGTGTGGCCAGAGTGAAGGTGATTTAAAAAAAAAGAAAAGAAAAAAAGAATGAGTTGATGGAGAAGAGAAGAGATAGAAAAAGTGGGGGAGGCTGGAAGAGAAAGAACTAAGGTACTCCAAGAGCTTGGCCGCGCTCCGCTCATGTAGTCCTGACTTTCTGAGTATATTTTCATTAGGGTTGCAGAGAAAGAAGCTGTAGCCACTGAAAATATTTTGTAATGTCAGCTGTTATGATGGGCTGCCCTCTTGCTTTGGCGCTGCAGCTAATGTTATTGAAGATTTAAGCGGAGACGGAGTAAAGGTGTCACCCATGTGTGTAACCTAAAGCAAAATAAATTCTATTACATCCAAGCAAAAGTGTACCTGTGATTGACAATCTAATCCATGATAGCAGGGGATCAAAACCACAGTGATGTATAGCTAAAATACACCTGGATGTTGATAACGCTGCAACCAGTCATATAAACTGACTATGAAAAACGTTTCAAGTCCTCAGGATCACAACATTTTAGCCACCTATTTACAGCTGTATCTAAAATAAATGTAAACTAAAATCTAAAATATTTTGTGGCATCGCTACAGAAACAGGAACAGTAACTAAGTGCAACAGTCTTGTTTTCTTGAAGCTGCAGGTTCAAGCCCAGGTAGCAACAAGAAGGGCATCCGGTGTAAAACAATTACTAAATATTTCATGTGACTTTAATCACTGTGACAACCCCTGCAGAAGGGAGCATCTGAAAGTAAAACAACATAAAAACAGGAAATGGTTTCAAGATAAAAGAACCATGCAGACCTAAGATTTATAAGAACCATTCTGACTGAAGAGAGACCATGTTTCTCCAGTTTTAGCTTCTCTCCATTGACTCCCTGTCAAACACAGAATAGTATTCAAAATCTTACTTCTAACCTACAAAGCCCTCAACAACCTAGCTCCATCTTATATTACAGATCTTATTGTTCCAAATTTTCTTAACTGAGCACTTCACTCTCAGACTGCAGGCTTACTTGCGGTTCCTACAGTTTCCAAAAGCAGAATGGGAGGAAGAGCTTTCATTTATCAGGCTCCTCTCTTGTGGAACCAACTTCCAGTTGCCTTTCAGTGCCCTGAGATGACTTCTGTTGTGACTTGTCGCTATATAAATAAAGTGAATTGAATTTAATTAAACTGACTGGAAAAAGTATGTTAACAACAACCATGAATGACCTTTAAATAACTATCATGGATTTCTAGGTTGTTTTGGACCATCTAGGAGTTATTGCCAGGAAGACCAAATGAAAGATCTGATTTGGTTTAATCAAACAGACAATCAAAAATGTATTAGGCATAAGTGACAACAGATGTGTTGGAGACAACTTTAATTAAACTAATCTATGTCCTTGACTTTAAATAAATCACTGAAATCTTTGTATTAAAAGTTATCTAAAAATCAGACTATTCTTTGACAGGTTTTACTGCAAAGCAGATTTTTGATCATAGATTTATTTTAATCCAGAAGACCTTTTTTTAGTACCTAAGCATGCTGGGTACAAGTGCTGATTACAACTTATTGAGAAAAGCTCTCGTTGATGAAAATCTATTAAAACAAACTGATAATATGATGAAACAAAAGTCCTTAATAGCTACTGGAGTTTGCTAACTGTCTTATTATCCAGTCCTGAGAAAGCAATGGATAAACAAACGTGGATTCACCCAAGCATGCTCCCTTTATGCTTTCTAAGAAGTATTATCTGGATCTGGCTTTTACTGACTAGGACTTATTGCCACACAGTGTTACACATTTATTCACTTAAAAGGCTGACATCAATTCCCTCCAACCTTTAGCCTTGACATGCAGACAAACAAGGAGACACTTTGCAGACACTCAGATGCATTTCATAGGAGTAAAATGAACTACTGCTTGGAAATTCACATCTTGACACAGTGATTAAAGCATTATCCCAATATCTACATAAAATGATTATGTTGAAAATGACTTGGAATTAAATAAAAAAACACAGTTTCTATTTATTTGACCAATATTTGCTTTTGAGAGCTAGATTATCACACAGTAATCTAATGCATATTCAGTTAAAAGTAAAGAAGAAGGACATAAAGTCAATCAACCAACCAAAACAAATAAATCTATATTTGTTTTTCTTTAAATAATATGGTAAATTAGGGCAGGGCTGCCCATTGTCACCTATTCTGTTCATAACTATTATAGAGAGAATTTATTGGTTCAGTCAGGGGGCGGAGGGAGTCCGGTTCAGTGGCCTCAGGATTCCATCTCTGCTCTTTGCAGATGACGTGGTCCTTTTGGCGTCATTGTGCCATGATCTTCAGCTCTCACTGGAGCTGTTCGCAGCCGAGTGTGAAACGGCTGGGATGAGAATCAGCACCTCCAAATCTGAGGCCATGGTCCTCAACCAGAAAAGGGTGGATTGCTCTCTTCAGGTCGAGGGGGAGGTTCTGCTTCAACTGGAGGAGTTCAAGTATCTTGGGGTTTTGTTCATGAGTGAGGGAAGAATGGAGCATGAGATTGACAGATGGATTGGTGCAGCATCTGCAGTATTGCAGACTCTGTGCTGGTCCAATGTGGTGAAGAGGGAGCTGAGCTGTAAAGCAAAGCTCCCAGTTTATCAGTTGGTCTACGTTGCCACCCTCACCTATGGTCACAAACTCTAGGTAGTGACCAAAAAAATGAGATCATGGATACAGGCAGTTGAAATGAGTTTTCTCCGCAGGGTAGCTGGACTCTCCCTTAGAGATAGGGTGAGAAGTTAAGTTATCCGGGAGAGACCCGGAGTAGAACCGTTGCTCCTCCGCATCGAGAGGAGCCAGTCGAGGGGATTTGGGAATCTGGTAAGGATGTTTCCTGGGCACCTCCCTAGGGAGGTGTTTTGGGAATGTCTGACTGGGAAGAGACCCCGGCGAAGACCCAGGACACGCTGGAAAGACAATGTCTCTCATTTGGCCTGGAAACACCTTGGAATCATCCCAGAAGAGCTGGAAGAGGTGGCTGTGGAAAGAGATGTCTGGG